CCTGTCCGCCACTCCCCCAACCGGCCTTGATGTTTATAGATGAAGAAACTGAGACAGGGAGAAGGTAATGTAGGTCAATGTCCAAGCAGCCCACAGGCCACAAAAACCCTCAGGGCTGAGCCAGACCTGGAACCCAGTCTCAAATCTTCCACAATGCCTTGTCCAGCCATCTACAGGCAGGAACGACTTCAATTTCAAATGCTCAGTCTATATGAAAAACACCTATTCATACCCCACTGAGATGGAGATACATTTTCTAGGACATGCCACATTCATGTACTCCAGGGGAAATGAAGTTTGTTGGGTGACTCATTCTGTAATGGGCCAAGTACTCAGGCCTTTCTATTCACAAGTATTTCACAGTATGAAAACTACAGAAGTGACTTCTATGAGTCTGGGGTACTTCCTAGACACCACACGAAAGCTTTCCTCCCATCCATATACTTCTCCTCCAAATAGTATTTTAGGGATTTTTTTTTTTTTTTCTTCAGAAGTCACTGAAGGATAGCTACAATAGAGATGGCCTGAACAGCCTTGGCAAATACACCAACAGAAATATGTACTCCTCCTAATTTGCCATTATATAACATTTATTTGCTCTCACAGCATGCCAAGGGTCTGAAAACATGTTGATTAATAAACAATAATTAAGTCTCACCACCTTTTTCAGAGATGGTTATGTTCTGGGATTCCCTTTTGTAGGAGGCTGGACTGAAATGCACAGGTTGAAAGCTTTCTACCTGAGACCTGACTCAGAGGTGCATCAGACAACCCAGGCCAAACCACAAAGCTCAGTCCTTTCTCTTGTCCTGCATTTTGCTTCCTCAATCTCATTTTCCACCCACCTGGGCCAACCTTCACTCCCATTTGGCCCCCACTCTCCAGCAAGGTCCCTCTAACCACACACACTAAACATCCTGACCCCTTAGCTTCCAACAGTAAATGCTCAGTTCCATGAGGTGAGATACCTGGATAAGACAGTCGATACCAGATTACAAAGTCTGGCAAAGTGAGTGTTCCTCCAGCCTTTGCAATTCTTTATTTTAAACACATGTGAACACTGTGAGCTAACAGCCCTGCTTCTTGCAAGGCTTTCTTACCTTCGTATCTTAAAGACATATGGTGAAAGTGGGGCAAACAAAGTGATTGCAACTGCGGCATACTTTGGAAATGAATGGCAGTGGTCAATTGTTGATGCCTTTCATTTGTGTTAGATTTCATTCAAAACAAGAGAAGGGTCTAGACTCAAAATCCACACTGAAGGGACCAGAAGTCACCTCCACATTAAGACTTAGGCCAAGGTCACTGGTTGTGGCCCAGGGTACAGCAGGCATCTTGAACTGGGGACCGCTTCTAAAAAGTTCACAGACGCAAAATGATGGCAATCCAAAAGCTCTGAAATGCTTCCAAATTTTGATAACATTATGCTATCATTATTGCCATCATTATGTTTTCTTACTTATTTATTTACGTATTTTTTGAGACTGAGCCTCGCTCTGTCACCCAGGCTGGAGTGCAGTGGTGCAATCTCAGTTCACTGAAACCTCCTCCTCCCAGGTTCAAGTGATTTTCCTGCCTCAGCCTCCCGAGTGGCTGGAATTATAGGCATGCACCACCACACCCGGCTAATTTTTGTATTGTTAGTAGGGACCAGGTTTCACCATGCTGGCCGGGCTGGTCTCGAACTCCTGACTTCAAGTGATCCACTGGCCTTGGCCTCCGAAGGTGCTGGGATTACAGGTGTGAGCCACCACGCCCTGCCCATTATGTTTTCTTTTTATTATTATTATACTTTATGTTCTAGGGTACATGTGCACAACATGCAGGTTTGTTACATATGTATACATGTGCCATGTTGGTGTGCTGCACCCATTAACTCGTCATTTACATTAGGTATATCTCCTAATACTATCCCTCCCGGTGTGTGATGATAACCTTCCTGTGTCCAACTGATCTCATTGTTCAGTTCCCACCTATGAGTGAGAACATGCGGTGTTTGGTTTTCTGTTCTTGTGATAGTTTGCTGAGAATGATGGTTTCCAGCTGCATCCATGTCCCTACAAAGGACACAAACTCATCCTTTTTCAAGGCTGCATAGTATTCCATGGTGTATATGTGCCACATTTTCTTAATCCAGTCTGTCACTGACCGACATCTGGGTTGATTCCAAGTCTTTGCTATTGTGAATAGTGCCGCAATAAACATACGTGTGCATGTGTCTTCATAGCAGCATGATTTATAATCCTTTGGGTATATACCCAGTAATGGGATGGCTGCGCAAATGGTATTTCTAGTTTTAGATCCTTGAGGAATTGCCACACTGTTTTCCACAATGGTTGAACTAGTTTACAGTCCCACCAACAGTGTAAAAGTGTTCCTATTTCTCCACATCCTCTCCAGCACCTGTTGTTTCCTGACTTTTTAATGATTGCCATTCTAACTGGTGTGAGATGGTATCTCATTGTGGTTTTGATTTGCATTTCTCTGATGGCAAGTAATGATGAGCATTTTTTCATGTGTCTGTTGGCTGCATAAATGTCTTCTTTTAAGAAGTGTCTGTTCATATCCTTTGCCTACTTTTTGATGGGGTTGTTTTTTTTCTTTACATTAATATTGAAGTTAGTTTTCCAAATACTAAAGTTAAGTCAAATTATTTACTAAGTATTTGCCATTACAAAATCTACAAAGTATGTCAACCCTGTATGAATAATCAAAAGTTGCTCTGCCTATCTGTGAATATCAGCTCCGCCACTTAATAGCTTGCTAAGGTTTGGCAGCTCACATATCTCTGCCTCCTTAGTTTTCTCATCAGCAATTTGGGTATAATGGTAAATACCTACCTCATAAGGTTACTCTGAGATTTAAATCAGTTAATACACATAATGCATGTAGAATAACACCTGGTCCTGGGGATACATTTCAGAATACCACCTATGATTACCATGATTATTATGTTGAGTAAAAACAACTTGATCGTCGCAATGTTTCTCTTTCACTCTTCTAGGTCCTCTGCCAGCACTACAGTGGGAAGTTCCTTTGCAAAGAATTCCATCCCAGGCAGAAGGTAATGCTTTGGGACCCTAAGAGAGACCCATTCCCAAAGCTCACAGGGAACATGGCTGGAGTCCAAGAGACTGTTCTGCCAGAGGGAAAATCCCCATTTTTCCCCAAGGTGGAAACCACATGCAGTCATCTCCAAACACCGTGCTCCAGCAGGAGCCACAGCTCCCCAAGCCTCAGCAGCCCCGCCACTGCAGAGGTGCAGCTGCAGGAGTCAGTTAGGGTACAGTGTATCAGTAACCCAGAAGCTTCAGGCAGGAAGCCAGTGTGGGATCTCAGGTGGGAACAAGCCATAGACAGGAAGGCACTCACACCAGGTGGGTCCCCACGCTCTCCCTTCGCCTCATCAGTGGCCACAGCGCAGGTCCTGCATGACAGGCAAAGGCCATGCTTTCTTGTTTCTCAGTAACTTGAGCATCTCAGAATCACAACCCCAAACCCGAATAAACCTCAGTGGCAATTTTCAAAAGTTTTGACCCAAACTAACCCCTTACCTGGCTGCACTGAGAGGCAACCCCAAACCCCTCTTTATTAAAAAGCTATCCCTTTTTCTGTTTTCATTCCAACAAAGACAGCAAATAGGTGTCCTCCCTGAAAGGCAGCAGCCATAGCAGGGAGACCCCACTTTAGTCCTCAGTGTGCGCCTTCCCAGGAATCAAGAGGCAGGGCTGAGAACACCACCTTCATAACTTCTCTCAGGGGGACCCCCTGCAGATCTGCATGAGGCGTGAGGGTAATTACGGGGAAATGACTGAACAGCAGCAGACCCTGAGCCTGGACATGAAAACAACCTGGGTAATGTGGTGCTGGAAAAACAGACCAAGCACAGAAACAAGCACACAGAAAAAAGGAAGGAAAGAAAGAGCACCCAACAACGCACTGATTAATCCCATGAAATACCTCCTCTTTTTTTCCCAGCCTAATCAACACCTCCATGAACCCCTGCAAAATGTGTATTTCAGACTGCTCACCTGTGCGTGAATACACATACACTGACAGATACTAATGCACAACAAATACTGGTCGTATGAGGGAAGAAAATAACGAACTTCAGATCATTCGGCAGGTCCTGATTCTCTTTCACTATGAGCCTCCCCACCTATTCTGAGCCTCTCCAAAACAAAGCAAACAAGACCCAACTCCTGGGCAGAAAGGGAACAGCAGCCAAGCTGAGCAGCACATCCTTGGAGAATTCCTGTAATTGACTTCGAATTATTTCTGCTCTCTTGAGACTCAGCCATCAGCATGGGACTCAATGCAGCCCGGGAGAGAGCCGCCGGCTCAGTGACGCACCCAGACCCTCCCTTGGAGACGCGCTCCCTGGCGCCTGCTGCGGAACCCCCGTGAAATGCACAGACCCTCCTGTGAAGCTCTGCCCACGTGTGACCGTGAGCACTGCGAAGCCCTCCCCTTCCATCCTACCGTGGCCACCCAAAGTCTTGCCTACATCTCGTACATGCAGATGTCAATTCCGTAGGAATACATGATGTAAGCACACAAACGGGAATGACTAGAGGCTGATCTTCTCTTGACCAAGTCTCCCCAACGCGGTGAGCCCAGGCACAGGACGAGTAAACCCACACAGCCGGTAAACAGCCATCCCCAACATGCTCAGCCCACAGCCACGCTTGGGGAAAAGGGAGCGGAGAGGGCTGCGGTGTCAAGGGAAGTGGGAAGTCGCCCGCCCTTGTGGGCTGCTCCCTGACAGCCCGGCGCTGCCCCCTCCCCCTCCCAGGAACGGCGCCCACCCGGGGGTCGCAGGCTCACGTGTTGGGCGCGCCCAGGGAACTCCGTAGCGCCAAGAATGGGACACTGAGGACGCGGCAGCGTGCCGGGTTCCTGCCGCGATGGTGGTGGCAGCAGCGGCGGCGGCAGCCTGAGCCGCTCCTGCAGCCCCCGCTGCCGCCACATCCACCCTCGCCTCCCGGGTCGCCACTTACGTTCCGAGGGTCTCCTTGAACTCTAAGGTCATCTTGATGTCTTCAGCCTGCTTTTTCTAGGAGGAGCTGCTCTCACCATTCTCCCGGGCCGTGGCCGACTAACACCGCGCGGAGGGGCGGCCTGGGGTGCACTGCGGAGGGGGAGCCGCCTCGGGCTGCGGCGCAGCTTCCTCCTCTTCAGTTTCCTCTTGGGCTCTCGCCGCCGCCACCGTGGTCTCTCCCAGGCTCTTATTTCTGCTGTTCTCGGGCACAGACTTCCTGCCGGCGCCTGCCAGCCTCACTTTCTACTACTTTCTTGCCTCCCTCCCGCTCCCTCCCTGCCGCCCGCTGCGCTCCCTCCAGCTCGCTCCTCCTCTTCTTCCTCCCCATCCCACGGGCTCCCCGCCCTCCCCTTGCGCCCCGGCCGCTCCCCGCCTCCCACGTGCAGCCTTCGGGGATGTCCCGCTCCCCTCCCAGGAGCGCCGGGCCGCTGCCGTCACCTCCCCTGGAGCCCCGGGGAGGGCAGGTGCGAGCCCTGGGCAGGTGCAGGGCGCCAAGAGGCCCAGCCCCTCAGGGAGCTGAAAGCGGAGCCAAGTCTGGGGGCACCAGGGCTTTCCTGTCTCCGGCTGGAGGGGGCTACTCTGCTTGGCGTGGAAGCTCCGGGCGGGCGGGGGTGCGTGACGGCAGGATGCGGGGCACCCAGGGCGGGGCGCCTTCCCAAGCTGTGGCCAGTGACAGCGCGGGCTGGGGTGGGGGCCATTTGCTATGGCAAAGGGCGGCTGCAGCTGGGATGGAGGCTGCGGATGGGAGCTCATTCGCATTGCACCAAATCGGTTTCACGTCAGTTTCGGGACCGACCGCGAGGAGCAAGGCTGGGAGCCTCCAGGCTGGCATGAGCAGGACGCGCCAGCAGCTGCCTCCTGGTCCGTTTGGGAGCAAAACTCCTGCGGGTGTTTGGAGGCCGCGCGGGTGCCCCGGCGCCGGGCTGGAGCTGCCGGTGGGCCTGGCCAGCCTGGCTACCCTGGCTCACGCTTGGCCTCTTCTGGCATCTCCCTCTCTCCTCCCAGAGAGTCAGTGGAAAGTGATCCTCTGCCCCTCAGCCCGCTCGGAGGGGCCCACAGGCGGCTGGCTTAGTAGGGTGTCCGAGTGGCAGGGCAGCACCTGCTTTCCTATGGGCTGCCAAAAGTAACCCAGAGAATTCCCTCGGACTCCCATCTCCCAGCTGTACGTTGGCCTACCCGCCCCACTCCTCGTGTCCACCTGTCAGAGGGCAGTCCATGTACTCCAGTTCCTGGTCCCCAACCTGCAGGGGCTACCTCTTGATCAGAAAATTTTAGTTTTCTTGGTATCAACGCTTCCTCTCCCTCGGGGCCCCTCTACAGAGTTGGGTAAACAGACCTGTCTCTTGACTGGGGACACCTGTTCCAATTTCCCAGGACCGTTCCAATTTCACTGTAAAAGAACAAAACAAAACAAAACAAAATCTGCTCCCTGAATAGGAAACTTCATCTAGAACCTTCTGCCTAGGTCTGACTCTGGTCGGAGTGGAAGCGGGCCAGTTGCTTTCCTTCGGCCCCTTCCCTGACCCCAAAGAGGTCAGAAGACACACTGGCATCCCCTTTCCTAGGGCCTCCACGCTGGTTTCCATCTTTCAAAGACAGTTAGCTTAAGGTTCTCCAAACTGAGAATTCACTTGCTGGTTAGATATAGAATAAATCCACGAACCCAATTTCCAAGAGGCATGGGTGAGAAGAATTATTAAGGAAACTCTCTTATAGTTGGGGCACATTACCAAAGTCCAAGGCAAACAACATCCCCTTCAATAAGAAATATATTTGAGAAGTGGGTGCGCCCAAGATGGCTGAATAAGAACATCTCCAGCCTCCAGCTCACAGCCTGAGCTACACAGATGGGTGATTTCTGCATTTTCAACTGAGGTGCAGATGACACCTCACACCTTACACGGCGGGGTACACCCCTTTGACGAAGCTTCCAGAGCAACAATCAGACAGCAACACTTGCTGTTCAGCAATATTCTATCTTCTGCAGCCTCCACTGCTGATACCCAAGCAAACAGGGTCTGGAGTGGACCTCAAAGTAAACTCCAACAGACCTACAGCTGAGGGTCCTGACTGTTAGAAGGAAAACTAACAAACAGAAACGACACCCACACCAAAACCCCATCAGTACGTCACCATCATCAAAGACCGAAAGCAGATGAAACCACAAAGATGGGGAAAAAGCAGTGCAGAAAAGCTGGAAATTCAAAAAATCAGAGCGCATCTCCCCCTCCAAAGGAATGCAGCTCATTGCCAGCAATGAAACAAAGCTGGATGGAGAATGACTTTGATGAGTTGAGAGAAGAAGGCTTCAGTTGATCAAACTTCTCAGAGCTAAAGGAGGAACTACGTAAGCAGTGCAAAGAAACTAAAAACCTTGAAAAAAGAATGGATGAATGGATAACTAGAATAATCAATGCAGAGAAGACTATAAAAGAACTGACAGAGATGAAAACCATAACACGAGAACTACGTGACAAATGCACAAGCTTCAGTAACTGACTCGATCAACTGGAAGAAAGATGTATCAGCGATTGAAGATCAAATGAATGAAATGAAGTGAGAAGAGAAGTGTAGAGAAAAAAGAGTAAAAAGGAATGAACAAAGCCTCCAAGAAATATGGGGTTACATGAAAAGACGAAATCTGCGTCTGATTGGTGTGCCTGAAAGTGATGGGGAAAATGGAAACAAGTTGGAAAACACTCTGCAGGATATCATCCAGGAGAACTTCCCCAACCTAGTAAGGCAGGCCAACATTCAAATTCAGGAAGTACAGAGAATGCCACAAAGATACTCCTTGAGAAGAGCAACTCCAAGACACATCATTGTCAGATTCACCAAAGTTGAAATGAAGGAAGAAATGTTAAGGACAGCCAGAGAGAAAGGTCGGGTTACACACAAAGGGAAGCCCATCAGACTAACAGCAGATCTCTCGGCAGAAACGCTTCAAGCCAGAAGAGAGTGGGGGCCAATATTCAACATTCTTAAAGAAAAGAATTTTCACCCCAGAATTTCATATCCAACCAAACTAAGTTTCATAAGTGAAGGAGAAATAAAATCCTTACAGACAAACAAATGCTTAGAGATTTTGTCACCACCAGGCCTGCCCTACAAGAGATCCTGAAGGAAGCACTAAACCTGGAAAGGAACAACAGGTACCAGCCATTGCAAAACCATGTCAAAATGTAAAGTCTATCGATGCCAGGAAGAAACTGCATCAACTAGCAAGCAAAATAACCAGCTAATATCATAATGGCAGGATCAAGTTCACACATAACAATATTAACCTTAAATGTAAATGGACTAAATGGTCCAATTAAGAGACACAGACTGGCAAATTGGATAAAGAGTCAAGACCCATCAGTTTGCTGTATTCAGGAGACACATCTCATATGCAGACACACATAGGCTCAAAATAAAGGAATGCAGGAAGATCTACCAAGCAAATGGAAAACAAAAAAAAGCAGGGATTGCAATCCTAGTCTCTGATAAAACAGACTTTAAACCAATAAAGATCAAAAGACACAAAGAAGGCCATTACATAATGGTAAAGGGATCAATTCATCAGGAAGAATTAACTATCCTAAATATGTATGCACCCAATACAGGAGCACCCAGATTCATAAAGCAAGTCCTTAGAGACTTACAAAGAGACTTAAACTCCCACACAATAATAATGGGAGACTTCAACACCCCACTGTCAACATTAGACAGATCAACGACACATAAAGTTAACCAGGATATCCAGGAATTGAACTCAACTCTGCAGCAAGCAGACCTAATAGTCATCTACAGAACTCTCCACCCCAAAGCAACTCAATATACATTCTTCTCAGCACCACATCACACTTATTCTAAAATTGACCACATAGTTGGAAGTAAAGCACTCCTCAGCAAATGTACAAGAACAGAAATTATAACAAACTGTCTCTCAGACCACAGTGCAATCAAACTAGAACTCAGGACTAAGAAACTCAATCAAAACCGCTCAACTACATGGAAACTGAACAACCTACTCCTGAATGACTACTGGGTACATAACAAAATGAAGGCAGAAATAAAGATGTTCTTTGAAACCAATGAGAACAAAGATACAACATACCAGAATCTCTGGGATACATTTAAAGCAGTGTGTAGAGGGAAATTTATAGCACTAAATGCCCACAAGAGAAAGCAGGAAAGATCTAAAATCACAATGAAAAGATCTAACATCACAATTAAAAGAACTAGAGAAGCAAGAGCAAACACATTCAAAAGCTAGCAGAAGGCAAGAAATAACTAAGATCAGAGCAGAACTGAAGGAGACAGAGACACAAAAAACCCTCCAAAAAATCAATGAATCCAGTAGCTGGTTTTTTGAAAAGATCAACAAAATTGATAGACCACTAGCATGACTAATAAAGAAGAGAAAAGAATCAATTAGACACAATAAAAAATGATAAAGGGGATATCACCACTGACCCCACAGAAACACAAACTACCATCAGAGAATACTATAAACACCTCTATGCAAATAAACTAGGAAACCTAGAAGAAATGGATAATTTCCTGGACACTTACACTCTCCCAAAACTAAACCAGGAAGAAGTTGAATCACTGAAGAGACCATTAGCAGGCTCTGAAATTGAGGCAATAATTAATAGCCTACCAACCAAAAACAGTCCAGGACCAGACGGATTCACAGCCAAATTCTACCAGAGGTACAAGGAGGAGCTGGTACTATTCCTTCTGAAACTATTCCAATCAATAGAAAAAGAGGGAATCCTCCCTAACTCATTTTACGAGGCCAACATCATCCTGATACCAAAACCTGACAGAGATACAACAAAAAAAGAGAATTTTAGACCAATATCCCTGATGAACATTGATGCAAAAATCCTCAGTAAAATACTGACAAACTGAATCCAGCAGTACATTAAAAAGTTTATCCACCATGAACAAGTGGGCTTCATCCCTGGGATGCAAGGCTGGTTCAACATACACAAATCAATAAACGTAATCCAGCATATAAACAGAACCAAAGACAAAAACCACATAATTATCTCAATAGATGCAGAAAAGGCCTTTCACAAAATTCAACAGCCCTTCCTGCTAAAAACTCTCAGTAAATTTGGTACTGATGGTACGTATCTCAAAATAATAAGAGCTATTTATGACAAACCCACAGCCAATATCATACTGAATGGGCAAAAACTGGAAGCATTTCCTTTGAAAACTGGCACAAGACAGGGATGCCCTCTCTCACCACTCCTATTCAACATAGTGTTGGAAGTTCTGGCTAGGACAATCAGGCAAGAG